CCCTACCTTGGCAAGAAGAGATTAGATAGGCACCTGGCTGGGGTTATTTAAACCCAGCACTCTTTTCTGCCTAGAGCAGGGGGTTGGACTTGATGATCTACAAGGTCCCTTCCAACCCTAGAAATCTATGAAAGAACCACCCCTCTCATCACTTGCCCATGACTCTGAGCACTAGTGAGACTCACAAGATTCATCTGTGACCACAAGTCAGACTGAGGGTTGGAGCTACAAGTTCTTCAGAACAAAATTCCAGGAACTCAGCTAATGGTTGTTCAGAGTTCACCACCCAACCTGGCACCATCCATACAAACAGCAGCAGTGGGCGTTGTGGGCTTTTCTGTAAATATGCATTAGAGGAAGAAGAAAAACAGCATTTAAAAAGCACCAGAAGTGAGCTGTCTGGCAAGTTCCACAGAAAGCAAAACCTGGTTAAATTTGTGCTAACAGATCCAGCGCAGGCACACACTGCAGAAGGAGCTAGGAGCGTGTGAGCTTACAGCACATTAGTTATTCTGTACTAAATGCCTGTGCAAATGCTTTTGATCCTTTAAATGACACTGAAGAATACTACAAACGCGAACCTTAGCTTACCTTGAGATATCTTGTTTGTGCAGCCATACCCCAAGCCAATGAGGAAGAAAACCCATTTGTAGAGCACAGATTCTCCTCAAAGTGCTGCTTCATTGTGCTAAGTACTTTCATACAGGTGGGATCCAGCCCCAGTGAAACATCAACTTCAGTAGGCTTTGGCTCTGACCTAGATAGGTACAGCATGAACCACGTACAGGGTGAACTGAGAGCCAGGCTAGCACACCGTGTTAAAAGGAAGGTTTGACAGCAAACTTGGAAGACCTAGGTTTTGAGACCCTGCTTCCCCCAAAAAGTCCTGTATGACTTTGATGGCACTACAGATATACTCAAAAGTGCAAATGCAGCCATATAGACATAGCTAGCTAGCTCAGATGCAGCTGGGAGCACAGAAGGGGCTGTGAACCTTGCTCCCAAAAGCTGGATAAATGATTCATCCACCTGTGCTGAGCTCTGTCCCACTGGGACAACACTGTTAGAGCACCTGAGCTATGTTAGGTCACGTACGTCTACACGGAGCTGCAGAACAGATGTGCTCAGCTTCTCTGCGCCTCAGCTCTTCCATGCTCCAGTGAAAACAGCAGCATCCCTGTGTGGAAGCATAGTGCTGTGACAGTAAGTACATTAAAGATCGTAAGGTGCTCAGATGCCACTAGTAAGGAGTCTAAAGTACCCTAGATAGGTACAACATACAGTGCTCAGTAATACATGGGAACAAAGTAGGGCAGAGGTAAATGAGACCTCTCCTCCAGCTCTTGGCTGGGCATTAGGGTGAGGGCACCTTACTGAGGCGAGAGAAAGCTGAATTTGGAAGATGCTTCAAGAGTAGTAGCTAACCTGAGATCCCCAAGAAGCCTTAATGAAGAGTGCAGCCATAGTGCAACCATTTGTGTTCCACCAA